CTGTCGCCGCCGACACCCTCAATGACAGCAGCTTCCTTGTCCTTGAGCTTCTGCTTCTGTTTCTTGGCCTTGGCAATCTTGCGCGAGTAGTGCACTACAAAGGCCATGTGATACGTGTCGACGGCCCGAAAGGGGGCCAGGCCGTCGCCCATGATGGCGAAGAGGGCGACCAGCACGCTGTCGATGATGTGTATCGTATACACCTGCTTGTCGCCAACGTAGATCCAGCCGATGAGGAACAGCACCCACGCCAGGCCGAAGAGGGTGATGAGCGTGGCGTAGAGCGTGACGAAGAAGCCCAGGGGCCGCCGCACGTACTGGCCGAAGCCCTTCATGGTGCGCTTGAAGCGAGATCGGCGCGAGTGCAGCATGTGGCGCACGCGGTCGTCCAGCTCCCGCTTCTCCTCCTCGGTCCAACCCTCGAGGCTGAAGCCATGGGGCAGCGCAGCGTAGTGGGAGTCCGTGAGCCTCGATGTGATGGTGTCGGACCTGCGCAGCGTGGTCGGAGCCGCTGTCTCAGTCTCGGCCGTGGGCTCGACGCCGGTCTCGACCCTCGCCTCCTCATCCGGGATCTCGGGCAGACGCTCCTCCTCGCGCTCTGCAGGGCGGCCCGGTCGACCATGCGTTCCAGCCTCACGCTGTGACAGCACGTACGTCGGGCGACGGTTGATCCAAGGGCCGAGATCAGGCACGAAGAGCGAGTTCTGCACGTTGGTCAGGGTCGAAAGGGTCTGGACCTCGGGATCTGTGGTCACACAAGAAATGGTCAGCATCTGCCGGCATTCGTTCTAGACTCTGCACGCAACTTACCAATGATGTCGAGCCAGTCCACCAGCCCCTCGCCGTACTCGTCCGACTGCGGCTGGGGGCGACCCTGTGCTTGGCCCTGCGCGTGTCCCTGCGCGGCATCGCCGCCGGCCTCTGTGTCGCCACGCGGAGCGGGAGAGCCGCGATTGAGGGAGCCGGGCCACAGCAGCTTGCTGAGCTTCCTCTTCCTGGTCATCTTCCGCCCGGGCTCCGAGCCGGCGGACAAGCGGCGGCGCTGCTCGTCCTCGTCCAGCCGCTGGTCCGGCAGCGACCTCGCCGGCGACATGGGCACGCCGAGCTCGGCCATGGTCGGGCGCGATCCCTCCTCCGTCAGCCGGGGCAGCGCCAGCTGGGGCACGCGGCGCGAGTGCCGGGCGACGTTGCCATCGGCGTTGGACTGAGCCGTCGGCGAGGGCTGCGAGATGCTTCGGGGCCGTAAGCCGTAGCGCGTGCCGGTGTCGGTGTCGCTACTCTCGGACGCATAGTCGATCGGGGGCGCCTGCGAGCCGCCCGAGCTGCGGCGGATGCGGATGCTAGGCTGGCGAGTGCGCTCGTACGTTGGGCGGCCCGCGTCTGATCCTACGGTGGAGGGAGCGCGGCGTATGCTCGAGGCGCGCGAGATGGCGCTGGAAGTGACGTCGAGGGTTGGGAAGTACTCCGTCTCCGAGTCTTCGACGGCGTCGGGCGTTGCGGGATTCAGCGATTGGCGAGACAGCGACCCCAGGCGACGGGAGAAGCTGTATCGCGGCGGTGGCGGTTGGAGGTTGTTGTTGTTGTTGTTGTTGTTGTTGCCGTTGTTGGCTGTTGAAGATGGCGATGTTGACGGTGCCGTAGATGGTCGTGCTGCTGCTGCGGGCGCAGGCGCTGAAACGACAGTGTGCGGGTCGACCTCTTCGTCCTCGACGCGCCGCGGCGATGAGGCAGAGCGCCATCGCGATGATCGAGAGCGGTTCCGATCCATTGCGTGTTGACTCTGGCTGAAGAAGCCGAAGAGAAACAAAACGAAGTCAAGAGGCGAACGGTGCAGTATCGGGCCTGAGCGGGTGGCTGCGATC